CAGGGTCCCTCTGTGACGTACAGTGGCAGTGACACTGAGTGTGCGGAGAGTGTGTGTGTGTGCCGCATGCAAGCTGAGCTAATACGGTTGGTTATCATAATTATTCCATCAGAAATGCTGCATTGTGAGGCTCAGCCAACAAACTCTGACCATTGTCTACACAGATATCATTAACACCCTGACAATTCACAAGCCGGCTTCGTCTACACATGTACATGGAAAGGTCTACATGTATATTATTCAGCCTGTTGCCATTTTTTCCATGCATTATAAGCAAGCGCATTTGCATACCGGTACATATACAATGTACATGTACATGTACATGTACCGGTACACATACGGTACATTACAGCTTTAATCAGAGCATACTTAAATCATTCATTCATGTGGGCTTTATGGTTTCAATAATTAAAACTGCATGATCCACAAAGCTATGAATATCATTACACTAAACAGATTCTTCATAAATACATTTCAACGACGAAAGGTTCCAAGCCGCGACTTCGTTAGAAACACTAAAAGTGCTCAACAGACATTGTAACAGGTGCATTGGGCATTCAAATGTTCAAAAGCAAAAACCAATACGAAATTTCAGGGTTTTTTTAAACAGGCATCATGTACTTCAGGTAAATCTCGAATCCATGATCTCACCCATGTCCCATGTCCCATTTCAATCCAAGTCACAAGACAGACAAACCTTAGGCCCTTAAGTCTTTGCATACGGTGAGCCGACATACACGTACCGGTGCATGTACGGTATTACCTCCAAATGTTGCCTTCAGGAGCCGACATGCCAAAAAAAAAACTTTATTCCGTCTACAAGTAATTAAGACAAATAAATCTGTAGTCAAAGAGTTAAATTCAAGGTCTACATGTAATTCTACTAACATTTCTACCATCTGTACCAGTACATGTGCAGGCACATACATGTACATAAATGTACCGGTACTGTAATCATGAGGTGTGAATATCCACACAACCTACCATACCAACCGGTGCAGTACAAATGTATCGGTACCCCCTCAATGGTTACAATGAGAGAGTTGGGGGATACCAGTGGGAGGGACCTTCAAATGCATTGTTGATGACGCCTTATACTCAGGCACAGAAATTATGGGATGGTACACAATCAGAATAGAATAAGTACCAGAAGTGTGTTTCGCGCCACTTGCATGTGAACCAGTACGCGATTGCACCGGTGCGCGCACGCACACACCAGAACGACGAACATGCCTTGTGTCCCCCAACTTGTCTGGAGCTCTTGAGTGGTAAAAGCGCCCTCTCTTGTTCGTGCACGGAGCCCATAACCTTGACTGTTCCCCCCCCCCCCCCAACAAATATACAGGGACTGGTAATTAGCTCTCATTTAAAGTCTTTGATTGGATCGCAACTGCGCTCGCGCATCACGATTGTTTATTTTTGAATCGCTGGTTATACATGGACGCCGCGCTGGTGATTGAACTCACGATTTGTATCAAGAAACTCACGCTTGTCTTACCACAAAAAGTACACAAAATCACCTGGTGTCTCTCTGAAGGCAATTTTCAAGCATTTCAACTGCATAGGTTGTAAACTGTGAACAGCAATATTTCTCTCTTTATTGATATTTGCCAGAGAAAATTTCAAATTCAGTAAAAATTGAAGCTCATTACTGGTACCTCCAAAATTGCACATTCGTGGCCAAGCCTTTTGACATTTGCAGCAGGCTGGTTGCACGCAAACATTACCGATGTTAGAATTCAAGAGGCGAGGCGAATTCAGACCTACGCACGTCGTGCATGTATACATGTAGTTAACATACCAGTACATTACACCGATTTCTGTGTAATGTATGCTAGATCACTGCTAGTTACCTGTCCCCATTTTTGAAGTCTGAATGACAATGGGGTCAAGAAACCAGACTACCCATAACCAAACAGCAGTCTCAAATGAAACAGGCACCAAAACATCAACATCAACAAAACACAAATGATGGTCCAAGCTACCGGTACATGTACAAGCTACCGGTACATGTAACTGCTCTGAACTGTCCTCACTTGGGAGCCCAATCTCACCAATAAAAGTGATCAGATCCAAGTTCCAACACATTATCTCTTTTAATATTATGGCATCTTTCATCTCGTCGTGTGCCCGACAGAAGGGCATATGTGCATATGCCCTTACGCAATAGCGCGTAATGACCAAAATGTTCCCAGCAAAAGGGCATATGCAGAAAACTGCCTCCATTTGAATGAAATTTAAACATTTTCATCAGAAATTAATACTAGTTGATCCAAAACTTATGATTCATACGTGTGACAAATTTCAAATTCGTACGATTTATATTACGTGTGGGAGAACATTGGATGCATAATGCGCGCGGGGGAACAATGGGACCTTTCAATGCAATTTTCTTGAAAGTGATTTTTGTATCAGAACGCTCATATGCCCTTCTGCCGGGCTCCCGACGATCTATCGTTGGAGAGGTCTTCCTTGCACTGTCTTCCATGAGATGGTAAAGCAGGCCTACCAAAGCAGGCCTACCAATGCATACATCCTTGTTACCGGTATCTTTGTAGGAGTTCTCTTCCGGCATGTTGAAAAGGGCTTGTGGCACCCAAGTAAAAACCAAGTAGAATGCACCTCAATAACTAAACCACAAATTGTAATAAGATTATCTGGAAAATGCCTCACCATGGCCATGCTAGAAGTACCAGCCTGAAATGGGAACCTTCAATCTGCGAGGAAGAAAGCAAATCTCACACCGCTGGAGCATCCAAAAAATTCACCTCTCTTCAAGTTCTGATATTACAAAATGTACATTGTACTCCTGACATCTGGCAAATATTGTAGGCTCAAGAACTCAGAAGGGGCTTCTGATTGACGGCCACATGACGATCAAAGCCTTGAGCCTTCCAGTTTACCCTATGCTTACAATGTACCGGTACCTCTCCAAAATCTCGGCATGGTTTCACCAAAGTGCCCTGCCACTGTACAATGTAACTTTAAATGTAGGCTGGGCTTGATGTCCCAATTTGGTTTGTAGCACAAAGCGTATATGTACATTTATTTTCAAGCAAACTTGTATCCTCGATCCTGATTGGTCGATCCATGGCAACAACAGTGCGATATAAGGCTGTATTGCACGGTCCATATCGCACCCTGCGCATTGCGCTATTCCAAGATGCGAGCGACATTCCAGCTGCATGCGCTAAAAGGTTCGTGTAAAGCGATGGGTCCAACTTTACTGCGCGTCAAGTTTGCTTGAAGAAAAATGTAGTGCGTCTGTGTCCCACATACCACTCACTACTTTATTCCATGTTCCACTCGCGTTCGCGGGATAACTTATATTGTACACGTACATTGTACATGTACATCTGTACAAAGTGCCATGTTGGATTTTGGCAGACTGAGGATGGTTTCCCACACAGAAATCCCAGTGAGTTTTAGTTAATGAGCACGTGTGCTTCATCTTTTCAAGCTTTTTCATGGGGAAATAGTGGAAGGCAAACGTTAACTTAGGAAAACGAGGAAGCGATATGAGGACTGTTTGAAAGCCACTCTGAAATGATGCGGTATCGACCCTGCCGCGTGGGAGAATCAAGCCAATGATTGCATAACTTGGAGAAGAACTGCAAATCGATGGAATAACTAAACTTGAACATGACAGAAATGACCCTACCCGGTATATACCCGGTAATCCAGTACCAAACCCGTTTTTAGGACAAATCCAGAACTAGTGTTTCCGTCGGACTTTGGGTGTGCGGCGTGTGGGATACCCTGTGCTACTGCAGCTGGCCTCGCTGCCTACTCCCCGATTCATGGGGGCAGAATCCACCAAGAGTGGACACTCAATTTTCAATGCTGACTACATTCCTGGGCGAGCAATAGGAAATTTGTATCTTTCATGAAAATTGTGTCGATATATTGTGTAAATCTACCCTTATGACACCAAGCATACATGTAACAGCAACCTACCTGTACATGTACATGCTTCAGTTTGGAGTCCGAGTCAACATCCCAGGCAATATGCAAACTTTATGCACGACACAGAATAACAAGCAAAAACAGTCCCAGTTCCAGACAACATTGATAGTGATCTTTCCCTAAAATGATATATTCAGTGAGTGGGATGATCAGGAGAGTGGTACTGTTTCGTTAAAGTCTAGAAGGTTCTCTAACAAAACTAATTACTTGACCTTTACAAATACACACTTTTTAAAAATCAAGCTGCAAATTGCTCTTTGCCTTTAAATAATTTATGATGCATTTATACCGGTACATGTACAGTACACAATGTACAAAGGTACATTGTAGCTCACAAAATACTCACTGTATACTTACCCTTGGTACTGTATTGTAGGCATCTTCTGCTGGTTCTAAATTTTGGACATTCTCATACTTTTCTAAGCTCTGGCAGGAGCTTCTATGTCACTTGGTGGTCTATTGGTCAATCGGTCGGTCGGTCAGTCTGTTTGTTTATCTGTTCCCCCCCCCCCCCCCCCGGCCTACATGTACATGTAGAAAACAAAACAAATATCACGCATGTGACAATCGCGGACGTTATAGTTAAATGTTCACTGTACACACTTGTATCTTGCTGTATTGACATACTGATGTGGTGTAGTATTATAGTGCGGACCTTATGAACATTCTGGACAGCAAGTTCCGATATTTGAATTTCTGGGGTGGGATTCTTCAACAGGTACCCCAGCGACCAAGTTTTTTTCAATCGGGTTCCCAATTATAGTCGACAATTCTGCTAGATATTTGACACCAATTGCAATACTGGTAGCTGCTCAAGTTCCTGGAAGTTGTGTATACTTTTAACTGTGATCCAGATGATTTTGCAATTTTTAACAGATTGTTGGGGATTATCCCATTTAGCCTCGATAATGGACTGCATGTAAAACCCTTTCAGCCCCATCACAGAGCACAAAGTGAACAAAGGCAGACAGATTTTTTGTTTATCTTGATACTGACAAAACATTCAATCAATGCAAAATTCAAGCATACTGTACCTGTTGCAGAAGATGCCTTGAGGTCTGGTGGATTTTTGCCCCCACTGACTCCAAAGCCTCCTCGTCCAACAGATCTCGGTAGACTTGCCAAAACATCAGTGCCAGACTGGGAGCCCATGCTTGAGAGCGAGGAAGTAACATGCACATCCGAGTCACCACCTAAGTCCTGAGGCGAGAGGGAATCATTCATGTAACTAGCTTCGTCCACGTCCCCGCCTCCGTCAAACAGATCAAACGTTTCATTGTTGACGCTCGGTGGGCTGGAGTCCATGCCAGTGAGGTTGGAAGAATCGGTTAGACGGGAGCCACTGGGATGACCAATCCCAATGGAACCGCTCAGGAAGTTATCGTCCAGAGTACCAGTCACTGAGTTATCACTTATCAGCCCGTGCTCTTGGAGGAGTTGGTCGTCGTTGTAATTGATCATACTCAGCATCTGATCTGCTGAGGTTCTGTACGGCATGGCAGGACTGTTACTGTGCCGGGACATTGAGGCCGGGCTATCCTGACTAGGCTCAGTGAAAGCTACAGACACGCTCACCGACAACGGCAGCATAGATTTATCGCCCATATGGCCTCCCACACTGTCGGACAGTGCTTGGATGTTTGGCGAGGTCTTATCGTTGTTGTTCTCATTGTGGTGCTGATGCGCTTGCACCAAGTTGCCCCTCCCATCCTTGGGCATGTGCAATTGTCTATCGCCATCTTTAGAAGGTTTCCCTTCAAACACTACCTGTTGTCGCAAGGGGTTTACATTCATGGGGGGCTGTCCACTTGGAAAGTGCACGTTTTCTCGCCCGTAGTTAAGAGTGTCACCTATAGGGAAGCCCAATGCCTTATCCACGACCTTGCTGTAGATGTTCGCGACACTTGGGTTAAAAATAGTCTGGCTCTGAGACAAACCAGATGGGCCTATTGTGGACAGACCCGCCATGGTGGTTTCGGCTCCTCTCAACTGCAACCTCCCCCCTGCCGAATACCCTCCCCAATCACCCAGATGAGGAATAAAATTCCTCACAGGTCGACTCATCATGTTGGGCCTGGGCACCATGGGCTGCTGGAATGTTCCCAAGAACTGCTTGATGTCAGCCGACTGACTGAGATTCAGAGGCTGCTGGGCCAGTCCTGGAAACTGTGTAGGGTTCAAGTAGTCCCTCTGCAAGAACTGCCCTGCCTGATTATTGGTCTGGCTTGTGGACAAACCATCCTCCATGCCCACCGAGTTGTTGCCCAACAAGCTGCCCCGATCCGATGCCGTTAAATCAGCAAGAAGCTCCGGGGGAATACCTTGACTGGAGTCCAAGAGCGGCAGACTGCGACTACGCTGTACTGGCTGGCAAGGAGGTGAGAGTGAGTTGTTGGCATTGGGGGTCGAAGACATTGTTGTGGGAAGCATCTCAGCGTTCCCGGGTACCGGTAGAATGCTGACGGGATTCTGCATGCTGTCCAGTGAGGAGCTGCGCTGTACAGCCGCTGGAGCTGCTTGCACTTCATTCTTCACCAGACTCATGCTGCTGTCCATTCCGGATAAGGCCATGCCTGTGCTGTAACTGACCAGTGGTTCATTTGACAAAGCATCCCCTTCTGATAGCCTTCTCTCCCAATGCCTTCAGCTGCTGCAAAATGGTTTTCAAAAAAAGGGTAATTAACCACTATATATATATAGGTATATATCAACTGTAATTTACAGAGAGATACCGGTAATTAATGCGAGATGCAGTATTTGAAGAACCTGTACCATCAGAAGATGGAAGATGATCATGTACGAATTGCAAAGTTACACTGACATATAAGTTAATGGACCCAAACTGAGTTCACAACACGAACTTATACCTACTCTTAATAAAGTCAAAGTCAAGATGTTGGTAGACCGGTACAAATACAAAGCATCAGCATTTAGGTACATACCTACATCATTGTGTGCACTGAAATCACAAACTCGAAAACATCCTCACACATACATGTAACACATTACATACTTCCACTTATGTACATGTACTTCTTTTCCTCTAGTTTCTTTCCACTTAAATCATAATCAATTAATCTAAACATACGGGGCAGATTGCTTGGACCCTTCCTGAATCCTCAAATATCCTCTTCGTGCCCATTCTATGTGTTTGAATTTGCTAAAACATCCAGCATTCTTTAACGTTGCTGGCTCACCAATTGCAAATGTCTTGTTTTAATTTGCGGTAAGTACAATTGATCTTTTAGGATCTAGTAGGTTTTTACTCAACATTTAACCCTAACCCTGCTGAATCCAACAGGATCCAACTATATCATATACCCAATGGAGCCTGTTGGATTGAGCAGTAAACCCCTTGTGTACATGTACATTCCTGATGCAAAATGTTGGATTCAGCAGGCAACTGAACCGCATTAAAACGCCAAGTTGGACTCCATTGGATTCAGCAGACAACTGAAAATAAGGGACAGTGGATTAACTCAGAAAAGTCCAGTTGGACTCTGTTGGATTTAGCAGGGTAGTCCTGAGGAACTACTAGCAGGGTAGTCCTGAGGAACTACTGGGGGGGGGGGGGGGAGGGAGGGGTAGGGTAAATTCAAGCCCTCCACTGCGAAACAATCTGAATCAAACTCCAAACCTACAGTACATACTGTACATGTAGTACATTTTACAGATGAGTGCCCCCCCCCCCTCCTTCCTCCCCAACAAGTACCCCGGTACTGCATTCCTAGGTACATGTACATGAGCACCAACTACATGTGTGTACATGTACATTTAAAGTTACAGTAAAATAAATTCTTTCTTTCAATTTTCCCAATACACCCTTATACATATGACATTTGTAATGCACAATTGTATAATGTACCGATACATGTACAATGCAGCGTAATAGGTCATCCGGATATGGAATACAATTGGGAAGCACAAGTGATTGTTGCACGCCTATTGTTAATACATGTAATACCTGGAATTGGCCACAAAGCTACAGCCTTCGCTTCCCATTGATAAAATCAGTCAAGGCAATTCTGGATTCAAAATAATGCAATGTATCATTACAACTGGTGCAACTGGTGACATTACTACATGTAGCATCACTTGTATCGTTCAGCTGTGTCACAAGTTTAGGGAGCTACCGTACATGAACTTACACTGTAAATGTACATTGTAAATGCAGCAACACAATAAATAATGGCTGTTACTTGCACATGATGTAAAATACACAGGTCAATACAGAACTATTCATAATTAAATAGAAACATGAACATGTACATGTACATGTATGTTCCATGAAAACTAAACAGCCCTTGAAAAATAACCCATGGGTAATTTAAAAAACAATTTCAGCAAGTTGCCATATTTGTACTTATAGATATTTTAAAATTATTGTTGTATTAGTACATGTACATGTACATGTACCATGACCATAAGTGGAAATATTTAGAATCCCCAAAACGCTCCTATTGTTTGATCAGTCATAGACAGTCAAAAGTTCCTTCCACTTCCTCTGCCATGATGAGTAAGAGCTTATATTTTTATAAAGAGTTTAGCCTCAATCTTAATACATGTACACTGATGTTATCTTCAACATTTGCAAACATCAAAAAAACAAAACTAACAAATTATTATGAAATACTGTACTTGACTGTAAGCGATTAATACGGTAGTCTCCAGTATCCTGTGAAATCATGGCACGTGGTGCACTGTCATTTTCAAGAAAAGTTGAACGAATTTGTGTATCAATTTCTATTAATAAATACCTTGGAGAGTTGATGGTTTCTCATTGGTCGAGACTCGATCACGTGGCCGGTCATTAACGGTGATAATGGACCGGCTTCAAAGATCAAGCGAATAAATGGCCCCTGAACCAGCATTGATCCAGCCCCGTTCAGCCCCATGCAAGCCAATGATTGGTCAAAATATAGTAACAGTCCTGCGGTAGCTTTTAACAATTGAGCACTGCACATGCGCTCAACCCCTATCGCGTGAGACTGACGCGCGCGTACGCAACACAGTTGCTAGGGATGCGTGCGTGCGCGCGCGTAAGGAAGTTTTGAAACGACATCGTACAGCAGTGCAGTATATACTGAGGATGTTTACGACGAAAGCGTAGATCTACGATTTATTTTCTTTGAACACTTCACCCACCGACATATTTACCTTTCCTAAACCAAGCATCTTTGTAATTCCGGACACAAGGAATGTGTAAACGAGATTTCAGCTTCCTCCATCAGGTAAAGATATAAAAACATTGTTGTAATTTGTTTCGCTACGGCAGCAGTTTCTGTTGAGTTTACGTCGTTATAACTGTTAAGCTAAAATGTGGCCCATGAACATGAACACAAAAAAGTCTGGAAATATCGCCGAAAGAAAGTCACAAAATTGGAGCATTTTAACTGTTTATTTCGTTATAAAGGTTTTTATTAATGGGAATAACAGTGTGAGGATCCGGTCTTCACTGCGTGATAATGACCGGGTGTGGGGGTGACCGCTGTTAATGGACCTCGACTTCGTCTCGGTCCATTAACAGCGGTCACCCCCACACCCGGTCATTATCACGCAGTGAAGACCAGCTCCTCACACTGTTATTGCCTTAACAATGCCCTGACCTGACAATTCCAAGACGTCTATAAATTGCTCGTCATCTGAAGTAGGGTCAGGGAACCAGACTACAAGAAGAGCATTTTTTTTTCTTGGTTTTTCCAGCATCTATGAACATAAACTTGAAACAGGTCAGTGTATGTAACAAAATTTGCTATAAAATTTGTTTAGCATGTAAGTGGCATTACATAATCACTCTTGGAGGTACCGGTAAAAGGCATTCAAGAATGTGCTCTGAATTTACAAAATCGTACATGTCAGATGTAACAGGGACATCAAAAAAAATTGGTCCCCAAATTTGCAGAATGACCCATGCAGGGCTTGCAAATGTTGGGGGTACAACGACGATGACAGCGACAAAACTTAACAAGAAAATAGAGGTGGCAATCGCACGTCACCAACCACAAAACCGCTTACAAAAAAAGTAATTTCCATCCCCCAAAAAGTGTTCAAAATTACATAACAGGTGTCATTTAAGCTGAGAGAAGTCTGCTTTAGGTTGAAAAAGTAATTTTTGAATGATAAAACACCTTTGACTCAAATTTGATCGAAACTAAAGAGGGGTCCTAAACTACATGTACATGAACGCCGATATAATTTTCGCATTTTTTTAGCCGGCCTCTGTGCCCCTTCTGCAGATATTATTGGCCTTAGTGCCCTCCCTACTGGCCTTGGTGCCCTCTAGAATTTTGCTCCATTCAAGGCCAAAGTGGCCTTGCCCTAAAAATTCCCAAATTCAAGGCCTGCCCATGTTTCTTTTTTTCTCCACGATTATAAATATAAAGCACAATCTCAATCTCAAGGTATGTTCATGATTAAAGAATGAGTAGGACATGGATACCGGAGAGCCAATGAAAGCGCATGTCAGCAGGAAATGGGGAGGTCAAGCTGCAAGGGAAACGAAGCTAATGTGATGACTAACACTCAGATTTCTCTATGTGTTTGTGCGTGTGTGTACGGATTGTACCCACAGACAAACCCATAGTGGTTTCAATGATAAACCGTGGAAGTATCACTGCACTGAGGAGCCCATGCAGTGTCTGTGTGAATAAAACAAACTGGTTGATGCAATGCAGCTATAATTTGACTGGCCTGCGACCACAGCGGGCTATATTTGGCATCAAGTGAGCAATGCACAAAATCCCAATGAAACCAGATTCCCAGGGTCCTGCTCTGCTGCGCTGTGATATTTTGACATACACATGTACAGTGTACGTGTACATGTACATGTACTTGAACTTACAGTTACAGCAATAGATTTCTGAACAACATACAGTTTTGACGGAACTAAAATCCTGTCTGTAAATGGGTCCTATGCTGTAATAAGCAGAGGGGTCTAACTCATTTATACCCTACTTCACAGTTTGCGTAGCTACATAAAATCATCAACTACAGTATAGTGGCCTTTCTAATTTGAACACAGTTACATGGTATGCACGCATTTTATCACCAGCATTGCCTGTGGCAATCATCATTGTCATTACTAACTTACTGATCACTGACTTGTTGCTGCTCAACCAGCTTTCCCAATAAGCGAGTTCAGTATTCCAACAAGTGCACATCAAGATTTACCAATTTCGGGATATAAATTTCATCGTATGCGCGCAAAAGCATAGCGGGGTACCAGCAAATTGAAGAGATCATCTTGTTCTGAAGTATAACATTTTGCAAAACAACTTTGGACAGCGAAGTGTACCGGTATTTAGGTGTCGAGTGACGTTAAAATATTTGTGCTAACGAAACTTCCATCTTTTTTCGATTGCATGAAAAATTGCACAGAATGCAAATTTGGTTACCACATCCCCCACAGCCTTGTGTTCATTTTATCTGCCGAGTTATCCCGAAAATTTTTTTAGTTGAATCTTGCTGTGCGCCGGACTATTTTAGAATACTGAACTCACTTATTCTTCATAAACTTGGAATCTATACTAACAGTACTTCTGTCTGAACTTCAACTTACATTTAAATTAATAACAATGATAAAAAATAATTGTTTCTAATTTATAGGTCAGACCCATGTTTGACCACACAGGACAGCCAGATCAAAAGTGT